GTTCCTAATAGTACACTTCTCTGGAACCATTCGAATCAGTTAATTAAAAATCCAGTCAAATAATTTGTGAGTAATACCCATATTGTTGTTAGTTCTCCTAGTTATAATGAAAGTCCTTAGTTGCATCAACATACACAGCTGACGAGATCGATGGAGACCAATCGTTAAGGTTTGAAAGATTTTGTCATAGCCTTTCTTAATTTTTTTTATATTTTTATAAAATATATTGATAAATAAATGATAAATTAAGGAAGCTTACATATGAGCCGTTTTATAAGCCGTTTTAGAAGTCTATTACTACACTACACAAGTAAAATAGTAGGATATTAGCATGATTAAATACTTTTTTAAAAATAGGAATATTGCACAATATATGATTCCCACGCTTATGATTCTGGCCAAAATTTATTATTTTTTTATAAATTGATATTAACAAAATTCTTATGTCTTTATATTAATTATATCTTTACAAAATAAAAAGTAAAATTAGAGATACTGCAATTTCAAACAAAATCTGTAGTACATCTTTTGCTGCTCCTATAAAGAAGAATTAAAAAATTTAAAGCAATTTTCAATTTTACATCAATATTACAGTAATTAAGGAAATTAAATCGGCCGCAAGGGTTATAAAAATTATTTAAAAATAATCTAAAAAATTATCTATTAAAAACGTAAGCAACACCAATTTCTTTAGAAATCACTGCATTATTAGATTTTTGAGTAGTGTTCTTATTCAAAAAATTTTTTTAATATGACGTCTAAAAAGAATTCCAGAATTTTTTATAAACAATGAATCCTCAAAAAGATTTATGAAGTGTATTTAAAGTGTACTTAAATGTAGGTAAAGCATATAAATTTATATCTATCATAAGATTTCTTTTCTTAACTTTCTCTTCTAATATCTTTGCGGAACCTTTTATTGTTTTTCTTGAATAGTGAGAAATATTACTGAATAAATTTCATTAAAATTTTACAATACTAATGTCCCAATTTTTAAATGCACTGAATTAAAAGTGGAAAAAGAATTAGATTTCGGATCTATGCAGTAATTAACGCCATAGATGACATTCTCAATATATAAAATCTTGCTTGGAAGGAAAAAAACCTTTTTTAGATCTAATAATCGAGTAATGTAATCGCTATCGCTATTAGGCTCTAAAAATTGACAATAACTAACTTGATTAAATGATTGATTGTGCGCCATCTGCGGAAGAAACTGTATAGATGGATGATCCCCTTTCAAATCTCTCAACAGCGGACTCCGTAACTGAGTCAATCCACCTCGTTGAAAATCATTCTCTCTATTTCTTTCCTTCACAGCAATAAATCCTTTTCCAGAACCTTTGCATAATACGCCCAATGTAAGATAATTTAGGCATGGTCATTGCTTCTCGCGAAAATTCTGGCTTGATTTGTTCGATGGTCCATTGGCTTATTTTTTCACAATATTTTCAGGAGACTTCTCCAAGAAGCAAAGTTCATAAGCACTAATACTTTTCCTACTTTTCCTCTTCATATGCTAATTCTCTCTATCCATAAAGTGCCATAGGGATTTTCCTGCATTATTCTAATTTTTGTAGATATTACGGTATAACTTTCCCAAGGCCTTTGTGGTTCTATTAATCTAAATTTCTTGATCGCTTCTACTTTTGATGATTGAACCTAAAAGCAAAAACTATCCACTGCTAACCAAATTATTTCTATGGTTTATTCGGACACCACTGCATTAATTGTCAATTTTAAGGATTCTACCTATTGCCATTATTTCTTCTTTATATTTATTCCGATTTTTTTCGCTTCGGTTTTTAAAATCAAGGCATACTCAGCCACTAGAGTAATGCTATTAGCACGAAGAAGATTGCTAATAATTGCCCAAATTCAAAATCATCTACTCTTTTTCCAATTCAATCTCCTTAGGTAAAACATATTCCGCGTATAGGGTAAATAAACAAGGGAGAGTTCTTGTCGATATTCTATTCAAATTGCGGTTTCTGGCCTTGGTATAAATTTGTCATAAAGCCAGTTAAGTGCATTGGAATGCTCATTTTTCTATGCAAATTCCATAGTTTAAGATGATTGGCATAGTCAAAGGTCTTCGCATGTGAAGAAATTTTGGTATTCTTTGAATTTCTCAACTCCTTGAGATTTTAGTCTTGCTTGGCTTTTTTCATCTTCGTTATTTCCACGACTTATTTGGATTTCCAGTTTACTTTTTTTCATTTTTGGCAGTCGCTTCTCATAATATCCTTAATAATTTCTTCAAATCCATGATTCCCCTAGTTTCCTATTTGAGAACTTCAGCTTCATGGTGTTTCCTCTGAAACATCTGTAATTCCTGGTTTTCTTTTCCTATATGCCAGCATTTAGGCTTTAATTTGTGGAAAGCTTCAATTTTACCATGCTATAAATACCATTAATATCATTGAGGAAGATCCTCAATTCTTCTGCGATAGTTGTTGTATGTCATCATCCGGTACTATATCGTCAGTCATTTTGTATTTTCTGTGTGGTTGTCTTAGTAATAATACAGGAGAATAATAGAGGACAGGAGTGAGAGAAAGTGATTTACGAATTAACTTAGAAGTTAACATAAGGATAAAATATCTAGTGATCTATATTATATCTAGTGATATATTACTCCAGAACGACAGAAATGCAGAAATTCAGAAAATCCTTTAAATTGCTTATTGCTGAATGGCGAAATTAAGATTCAGAAGTTCACGGCTTATTGGTCACTGTTCTTTCTTCTTTTTTTTAAGCCGTCAGAGGCTATTATATCATAATTTGTGTAGCCACTTCTTCTTCACTGGTCCTTTTGACAATTCTTATCCACTTGTTTACTGGTTGGTATTATCAGTCCATTATTATATGAATCCGTTATATTATTGCCACTAAGCCATTATATTTTCTTATTGTTTTATCAATCAATTCTTCATCAATTTATCCTTGTTGGTTGTTGAATATTGTTAGGTCGAATTTCTATTTTCGATTTTTGACCTCAAAGTAGCTTTTTCTTTCGCAGTTCGGCAATTATTATTCACTGATTAGATTAAAATCATCCATAGCAGTAAAATCCGATCGATAAAATCGTTGTCAAAACCTAAAGTTATGGGCCGATATAACTTAATGAAGATTAGCCCTTCAATAAAATAACTTTCTGAATTTGCAATCTTAATTATTACATAGATTTAAATGAGTCAGAGAAATAAATATTATTTCAAATTTTATCGAATGTAGAAACATGGTAGAAAGTCTATATTTTAACTATAGGAAATCCGGCAACTCATTGTCACTAAAATTATCATCATCAAGCTTCATCAAACTTGCAAATCTAATGAGATTGCTTGTTAAAAGAAACGGGGCTTTCTGGGCATTTAATGCTTCCGGAAAAAATTGGTCGACAATTATCACTAACAGACCTATTTGATTATATTTGTTATTCTGGAGCAAAATTCATGAGGGAAATTTTGCAAACAGCTGCTCCAGTAATTTCATCCTTATTTTGACAGTTTTTATCGCCACTATTTGTCATATTACAACGTTTCAAACAATATTTTTTGTTCATTTATGATGTAATGTGATATGAGTTAAACTTTTATTTAATTCAATAAGGAAAACAATTATTTGCAAAAATGTGCCTTTTGGAAATAGAAGATGAAGACTGTAAAAGTAATGCAAAATGGAAAATAATGAAGGAATAGAAAAGATTATCACGAATTATAAATATTTTCTTCTCGACTCGTCAAGTAGAATGTAATTTGTCTATACAAAGCTTTGCTAAATTGGGATGGCTAAATCTCCAGAAATTTAAGGCTTTTTGAATATTCGCAAATTTCAGTTCGTATCATTATAAAATTTCTTAAATATTTTAAAAAATTAAAATTAATGATTAATGACTATGAAATTGGTTTATGTTGTTTACTTATTTACATTAAACAGCAGATTTGTTAATTTTATTTCAGTAGCCAATTAAATTTTTTTAAATTTTTAAATTTTATTATTAATTTTATTATTATTATTATTTTATTATTATATTATTAAATTTTTTGATTCGAAACTAATTTGTTTTTTATTAATAAATATTTTAGAAGAATGTTTTTCAAAATCTGCATTATAATTTCTACATTTTCTTTTCTTTTTGTTTCTTCGCACCGTTTCTTTTTTTTTTAATTAGTTATATTGGTTATATAATTTACAAAGATCGCTACTAAATTTCCGATTCATTTTTATCTAAACAAATAATTGAATGGCATTTTTACAGAGATATCTGTCACACTTTTATCACCCGAGCAATAAACATCCGAGAATCTCGCATTTTCACAAATTTTTCGTAAAATAAACTATTTGAAGAGTTACAGAGAGAATTCTGTTTCAAAATCATCTTTTATAATTTTTTTTTATAGTACTGAATATCTTAAGATATACCATTTGAAAAATCACTTCTGGCATTTTAAATCACATTAAATAAAAATCACATTTTTTATTTTCAAAATTTTTCTTCTTTCCGCTGGAAAAGAGCCTTCAAAAATTTTATAAATCTAATTTTAATAAACTTATAGAAATATAAAGTTTTTAAGTATTATTAATAAGCTCTCGTTTCATTGAAATTATTTGGCAGCGATTGAAATAGAATGAAAAATTCTAGCAATGTGGAAATCATTATCAGAATCTCGTTGTATAAATTCTTTACGTTGAATAATTCGCCTCTGCTGTCAGAAGAGATTTTTAGAGAAGGTAACCTTTCGCATTTTCAGAGAAGTATTAACCGGATTTTTTGGAAACTTTGCATTTGTCTCGCCCATGGAACTCATAGCAGCGAACTAGTCCAACAGGTGCATAAGGTTATTTCTGCCAATATTCTTTAAGCTTTGCATTTCTTAGGACAAGTTAGCATAAATAAATACGATTATACGATTTGAATAGCGTTGAATTCATATTTGAAGGTGAAATAATTATTTTAGACTTTGCTCATTAATTAGAAATGTAATATTTTTTTCAGTTACATCATGACTTGTGAGTTCAAGCCGTTGTCTTGGTTGATCTTCATAGCTTTCTTAGCTACAACACTCAGCCAGACACTTATAGAACAAAAAAGTATTGAAAATGATCTCTCAAATGACTTACAAATACAAGCAATGATGCGTCAACTGAGACGCTTCAAACGAGCACCACGAAAAGGTTAGTAGTAGAGTTTCAATAAATAAAAATTTCGACAAATTTTAATCATATCACGTTATTATATTAAAGGAATATGCTGGATAATAACTTTATCGAATAAAAAGCTCAATTTTCGTCTTTTCCGCACCATCTTGTTAGCACTGAATTGTTCATAACCTCTACGATTCATCATCATTGCATTCTTGAAAAATTTAAAAATTATAATTTAAAACTTTTTTTAAAAATAAGTTATCAATTAATTTATCAGTTGTAATAAATACAAAAAATCTATTTTTGCTTTTATGAATGAATATTTGCGATATTTTAATTTTAGGTTTATTATAGATTATTTTTGTGTTATACCGTATGCTTTTTGTCGTTGACGATATTCCCCATTTTTCAAATGTCCGTTCTCGCAGAATGTCTTTTGAACTAATAATTTTCCTATCGTTATTTTTTAACTATTTTTTCAGTGATTTTTCACAAAAAATTTTGGATTGATTGATCATTTAACAAATAACTCATGATTTATCTCAAACTATTCTCTTTCTATTTTTTTTCCTCATTTCATTCTAGGAATTCCCAGAAAAGATGGAAATATTTTAAAAACTTTTCAACTATCGCTTTTTTGCAGCATGTGAACAAGAATTTTGCTACAGTCGTTCGTTCAGTTTTAAAGCTTAGTGGAAAGATTACGATTTTGTAGAAAAAAGTTCGATGAAGGCAAAAAATTAGGATTTATTTGTCTTTTTTTATTGGTAATTGATAATTTACATATTATAATCGCTAAAAACATATTTCTGATCGTTCGATTTCAGCTCTTTCAGCCATACCTGAATATGCATAAATACCATTTTTCAACCATACTGTATTATCATATTGCCAAATTTTAAGTTGCAATATTTTTTGCATGGTAAATTGATTATAAAAATTTGGTTTTAAAGTTTTCATTTGGTTTATTTTATCACTTTTGTTTCGTTTATATTATTTCTAATATTATTTGATAGTTTTTATGTTTCGTATTTACTTATTTCAAAGATTTAAAACGACTTCATTTTAAATTTCTAAATGACTTTTCTTCTTCTCAACTGATTGTGATAACGGACATGTCAACCATGTACAATAATTAGGGAAATATTTAATAAATTTGCATGCCAATTAAAGAAATAACTGTTAGTATAGGCTTTATTTTAACTGTCCTACAGGTTTCATCAAAGAATGTCAAACAAAACGATCATCTCGCCGAAAAATTGCAGGTAAAGTGGAAAAAAATTTTCATTTAAAGTTTTCTAAAAAGGTTAGAGAAAATAGTTAATTCTTTCGGGTATGGTTACTATGATAGTTAATCATAATTTATTTAATTAAAGAAATTGGTTACAATGCACGATTATTTTTGCTTCTTAGGCAGTGCTGGTAATTTTTCTTTTCCAAAATCTTCCTTACTTTCCTTTATCAGTACTGACATAGAAACCAACGTTATCGACCAAGCATTTAGTTTAAAATTTTTCTTATTTCATTTCCATTACATCTAATTTTACAAAAAGTGTAATTAGGACTAAAAGGTTAATTTTTTCTCATTGGTTGGCATGTAGATTTCTTTTAGCAAGCAAGCATTTATCAAATACGGCAAGCAATTGCTTTATTGCTTCTTCCAATCTTCATTTCTAAAGAAAGCTAGAGCCAAAAGAATCGTGCTATATTTACGTCTGGAAAACAAATAAATTGAATTTGGCAAGAAAACTGACAAAAAAGCTTGCCGGCGGCAAACGAATCTTTCTCTCAGTTTTATCCCTGACACATTTATCATTTATCACTTTCCAAGCAAAATCGAGCTCAAAAACAATGTTTGATATATGTAGGGCCGTTGAACCATGAAGTTGGCAGGATCAATCAGTTGTTGTCTGGAATCTTTACACTGGTGCAAATTTACGAAAAATACCAGAAAAAGATATTACAAATAACTTGAGAATTGTAAATATTTCATTTATAGGCATAGATATTTTAAAATTATAAAATCTGATTAGTTTCCCTTTTTTTTTCCAATAATCCCTTTCGATGCTTTTTGGCACTAAGTAATCCCAACGAAATACATAAACATAATGCGAAGCGATCGTTAAAGGTTTCGGAAAGGTCGAAAGATTACCGACAGTCCTTTTTTTGCGACAAGAGGATTTTGATAGCGCTATATCATTATCAGGAAAGCACGAAAATATTCCTTATCGTTCAAATAGAAGAAAACGAACCTTCTGTCCTATTTTAGGTATTCAATCGCTGCATTCTATAAAAGCACGAATACCATTCATTCTTCTTGGAAATTTATTTAATTAACAACAATAAAATTTCTTTTTTTAACAACTCATTTTTATTGCATTCAGTTCACAAATGCTATTACACTAAAAAAAAAATATAGCCATGGTTCTCATGAAGTAAATAATTAACAGCACTGTGTAGTTAGTTTGCACGATAAAATTTGAAGCACAAACCGTCGCAATTTTTTAAAATGAGTTTATACAAGTTATTGTAATATATATATAAATATATTAATATTACAATAAATAAATGTAATAAATATACTGCATAGGCTTATTTCATAGGCTTGAATATTACGAGTATATGTGCCAAATACCTATGGGATTTCACTAATCAGGCTGAAATTTTTGCGGCCTTTTTGGCAATCAAAACCTTTTTCGAAGGCAATCAAAAAATTCTGGAAACTAAAGAGCTAGAATAATTTTCATTTGGTTTTTCGTAAAAACAGATTTAAACGATAGATTCTCATAATGAGACAGAAAATAATTTATTCGTTTTTTCCATGATATGATTTCTTTTTTTATTTTGACCCTATTTAATTTAAATTTTTTCATTTTTTTATATTTTCCGTGTTATTTTCACAGTTATTTCCATGTTATTTTCTATCATAATTTTTTGCTGTTCATCGTTATAGGTTCTCGTTTTTGTCGTAATTTCTTCCATCTTCTATCTTTCATACATTTTTAAATATTTGTTTGTTTGAAATTTTTGATAAATTTTGTTTGAAAAAAATTTTTCGAAATATTTCTCCTATTAATTGTGTGGCATTATATGTTTCACTTGCTTTATTTAAAAATCAAAATTGCTCTTAAATCGTTCTTTCAAAACAAAATTTACTTAGTTTTATATTGTGATTGTTTTTGAACAGTTAATCTTTATTGTTGTTTTAATTTTTGGCATTTATTGTTTATTATTATAAATTATCGATAATTTGGCTTATGATTTTCTTTAAATAATATGATAAATAATTAAAATAGAAATTTAGAGAAATTAAGATTTGATTATAATTGCTATAATTTTGTCTATAATTCAGATTATTCGATAGTACCGGTTGTTGTATTGCCAATCAATGGTACTGGTAAATGTGTGTTAAGTGCCGATCAAGCTAGCCATTATTGCGGGGATACACAAGGTCTGATCGATTAATGCAATGCCTTACTTCAATTTTTGCTGCAGCTTTTATAAAATTTTACAATCCATAAAACTCTTCAGAAGTATCACTTCATAAATATTATTGGCCATCTTTTTTATAAAAAAACATGTTTATATACGCAAATATATTTGCGAGCAAATAACAGTCGACTTAATCATTCATAATTTTTCTAATTCTTGAAGTTCTTCGTAATGTGGTACTTCGTTGGGTTTTCCCCTTTTCTCTTTTTTTCTCCGAAGAGGCATTGCATTATTTTGTTGTTGTGGTGTGTGCGCTGCAAAACTTTTAATTATTCACTAGATTTTCTTCTTGATTTCATTTTAAGTTTTTTTAAAACTTCCTTTTATTAGTTTTCTATTACTTAAAATTTTCTTATTTGATTAATTTGATAGTTTGGTTTTGCGATTTCTCTTTTTTCTTTTTGTGTTTCTTATTATTTAATTCAAAATTTTTATACTTAATTTTTGCAGTTCTATGATGAAGTTAACTTATTCTTTGAATCGAAAGGTAAAATAACGCGAGGAAATTTTTAGCTCGAGAAAATGCAAATTTGCTTTGCCTCTACTTTAGCTCACTTGGTCAAGATCGAGAAGTGAAATAAATGCAATTTTCGCAGAATCAACTTTTAATAAACAGCAGCTACTCATTTAAATAAAATTTCACTCGCAGCATTTGTATAAATGGAATGCCATAATCAGATTTTTTCTTATATGAGCATTATATGAAGTAGTTCAAAATACTATAAATAATTCTCACAATCATGGAGAAATTACCATAAATATTATTTGGCCGATGGAGGTGCCATACGTTTTTGGAATTTGCTGAAAAATATAAATAACATAGCAGCAAAATTCTACTATATCAGATTATATCAATAGTTTGTTCTGAATTATTACTACTTAATGTAGCACTATAGTATTGTAGGTACTTAAGTTTAAATTGCGAATGTTTATGAATCTCATTCGAAAAATTTTGATTATTTGACCAGCAGATTATTCAAATGGGACAAGAAATAATTTCCAACAGTAGTCTACATTTATAAGATCTCAAATCTTGATGAAATGATTTGCATGTTAACTGCATTTGATTGCATGTAAAATAGGAACTGTAGTTTCTTCTGCCTTTTTCTTGGATCGATTGTAAGCTATCTAACAATGGCAGCTTTCAGAATTTGAATCGCTTGCAAAGTAAACTTTTAGATTGTTTAAATTTATAAAGCATTTTTGTTGTTAGTTGACCAAAGCAAAATAATTTTCAAGGAATTAGTGTAGTAGCGCAAACATGCAATTGAAAAGGACAAAAAACCTTTTCAATTTCAGGAGAAAGATATTAAGGATTTGAAAGAATGGCCTGAATAAAAAAATTTATTAATTTTTTCTAAAAATTTTTTTCTAAAAATGATTAAAAATTAATTTTTTTTTCGTGGAATTTCAGTCGAATTTTTATTTGATTCTAATATGGGCATCAAAAATGCTTTAAACTGTCTGCCCCTATACTGTTTGAGCATTTAAGCATGAACACCTTACTACTTTTTTGCATTGCAATATTTAATACACTTTTTATGACCGATATTAGGTAAAAAATGTAATGAAAGGTCTGATGAAGTATTTAAACGTCAAAATATTTAAACGATATATATGCGGTTAAAAAGCAATTATTGGAATCATCCAAAGGTTTAGTGAACGCACCGCCGTTTCCGCCACTGGAGGCTGGAAAATGTCATATTTCGGAGAAGAGCGGACGAGAAATATGTTGGCCTAGATACGAGAACCTTGATACTAGTTGTACGGATGTAGGAAGTGGAATGGTGTCAGCTCCAGCTGTTAAACATGCTTCGTGAGCCTTTACAATTTGTTATGCACATACGCACGCACATACGCACATGGAATAAATACCAAAAATCAATTTTAAAAAAATCCACTCCAAAAAATAAAGTGAAAAAAGAAATTTTTTGGGTTGGATAAGGAAACTTATAGAGAGTCCTTTTAATGAAAGGTCATATTTAAAATCTACGTTTTCAGATTAAGAAAAAACAACAACCAGTTGCTATAAAAATCAAGAATGTAGGCCAAAATTATAGATCCTCATTTATTTTATTTAACAGTCATTTCGAGAAAACAAATTGTGTTGCCCAATTATCAACCGTATAATGATAATATATAATAATCAGAGTTCGAGCGATGGCATTCGTTCCGCCAGATAATTTGAGGCGATTAATTCGGCAGTATTTCCGGCAACAAGGAATACCGATTCCAAAAAATATAACATTCAGCCCGAATTCATTTTTGTTTGTGCGTTATGAATGCGAATATGGCTATGAATTCGTCGATGAAGTGAACTCAATGTTTTGCATAAATCGGCAGTGGGTAATGACTCCACCAAAATGTCGTGGCAAAGGTTAGAAATTTGCCATTAGCATTCAAACAGTGTTTATATATGATGCGACCAGGTTGCGATTAGAGCTCTTAAACTTACTCCAGGATTATGCGAAATTGATAATGGAGGCTGCAGTCACTCTTGTTTATCCATTGAAGATAAGGATGTCGAATGTCATTGCCCTAAAGGCATGATACTCGATGCTGACCAAAAGACTTGCATAAGTAAGCTGCTTATAATTTCATTAATTCGTTTTATTTCAGGGCTTTTTTATTAGGCTTTTTTATTTTAACTTTTTTATAGAAAGTTATTCTGAGTAATTTTGATATATTTAAAGCTCTCATTTGCTAATGTTTCATAAATTCCAGTTTTATAGTTAATTTTAGAATCGATTATTATAGAGCCGATTCCCAAAAAACTATGCCGTATTCTAAGTAGTTGTTCATGCTTGGCAATCGATGAAAATCAGTTTTCTTGTACATGTCCTAGAGGAGAAAAATGCTTATGTAAGTCTAAATAAAGTGGAAGTTAAATTAAATTTTCTTAATTCTTTCAAATTATTAGTTTAAAATTTTCTATAACTTTTAGCTATTTGTTTACTTTTAGCTATAGGAATATAAAGGGGCAAAATCGTCAAGAATTTGCTTCGGCTAAAATCAAGCCGTCATAGATTCAGTTTTTCCTGACAGGTGTCAATAGAAATAAAGTCCTGGTGCTTATCACCTATCTTATGACTCTCTAGTGTTGCCAGCCAAACTAATGCTGTGAAATGCTTAGTGCTGTTAAAAAATGGATGAACATGTACATAGGGTCAAAAGAATTTAACCTAGGTAATATTTATGTATATGTGATGCCAATATTTTTTTGCTGGAACAACCCTTTTTTTAGTGCTGCGAGGTCGACCAAAGATCTACATCGATCCAGCTGCACCTTATGAAGTAATACCTGGTGGTAATTTGAATATTACTTGTTCAGCTGTATCCTATCCATTTCCGCAGATATTTTGGCAAAGGTAAGGTACTGAGTAAAGTTTATCAGATTTATTATTAGTTGTCAAATGAAACCACAAACTTTTAATTCTTTTAAAGAGGTGATGAAACAGTAGATGTCGCTCCAGCAAAACCAGGTACAGTACGCAGTGAGCAAATCCTCATAATTAAAGAATTGTATAAAAATACTCAATTTACATGCCATGCGAGTAATCCAATCGGTAAAGCAGAACGAACTATTGAAGTTATTGTTACAGGTACTTCAAAACTTATTGTGTTAGATATCGATTATGTCATTATGTCGGAAAAAATTACTAGGATTTTTGAATAAATTATTGATAAATTAAAGAAATATCTGAAAGATTTACTGCTAATCGTTTCGAATAATTTAAGGCCCTGGTTCTGCACCAGTAATAAGAGGTGTTGATGCTGGTCGGACATCTGTCTACGTAAAATGGGATCCACCGCTTATCGTAAATCGCCCAGTAGTTTCATATACTGTCTATTATACTAATAATGGTCAACAACCAATCAAAAACTGGAAAAAAATCATTGTCGAAGGTTAATTTTTCATTGCTACACAAAAAATGCACAAAATTGAAATGTTTCCTCTTGAAGTAATCCTTTTAATAGTAACTTGTTTTCTGAATTCAGAGCCAACCAGAGATGTGACCATTCATGAATTGCGACCAAATACTCAGTACTTCATTCGTTTGCGAGCTAATGACAACTTAGGCCCTGGACGAATCGCAAATCCTATTTCGTTACACACAAGACGACCAGGTGGTAGCAATGAAATACTTACAACATAGTGGACTTTTCAGTTGTTTCGATCAAAACGCAAAGAATCACATATAACATATATTTGGCAGTAATAATCTATACATAAAAAAATTTTTTCAGCTGCTCGACCTCAGTTATATATACCAGAAGGAGAGAGAATGCAAATCGCACCACTGACTGCATTTAAAATCGGATGTAATGTAACAAGGGGCGACCCACTTCCAAGTGTTGCATGGCACAGCAGGTCATCATTGATCGTAACAATACTAAAAGTTATTAAGAAAGCAAAAAAATTTATAACAAACTTTTGAAGTCAATAGAGAAAATTTCAGATCTCGTCCAATTTACAAGCCGCAAAAGAAGAAATTTATCACTATGCAACATGGTGGTCTATATGAAAATACTAATTTCTCATGCGTTGCTGAAAATGAAGCTGGCCGAACGACTAAACGTGTCCAAGTCATTGTTACAGGTGGGTTAAATTTTAAATCCCTTTTTAACAGTAATCGGAATCTTTTCGATTGTTATTATTTATTTTTTACTTCTTCTAAAGGCTTTCTTCCTTATTCATTCAAGATTGCTGAAAAATGATAAAAATGTTCAATATGAAATACAGGATTGTTGATAACTTTTTGATTAAGGACCCACTGCTCCTGAGCGTATACGTTATCAAATTGATGGAAATAATGTTGATCTACAATGGGAGCCACCTCGTATACTGAATGCACCCATGAAGGATTATGAAGTAAGAGTTTCATCGATATCACTGATCAAGATATTTTTGCTTTCGAAGGAATTTTTATCTTTTTATCATTTATATAAAAAATTATTAAAAAAATTTTCCAGATCATTTACACGGATGACCCTGAGCTACCAGAAGAACAATGGAATTCTATTTTGGTCGGTGGTCCCAGTAATCAGTCTTTCAGGATTCCACACCTCAAAGAAAAAACTGATTATACATTTAAAATTCGAGGGATCAACGATCTTGGACCTGGCCTATCGAGTTCAAAATTCACATTAACAACTTGGCTTGCAGGTGGGCGAATAATTTTATGAAGTTTCTTAATGAAATATTTCCTCGTTTATTTTTTTACTGGATAATTTACAGCACGTCCACCAGTTGTTACTATAATGCCAAATGATATATTGACAGAGCATCCTAGCATTAATGAGCTTGTTTTCGAGTGCAATGCAGTTGGCGTTCCAAAACCAAAAATTCTATGGCAGTGGAATGGCAATCTTATAGAAGATGGAAAAGTAAATAATTTAGAAAAAATTGAATCAGTAAATTTAACGTATAATCTTTGGATAAAGAAATCCATGAACTTTTATTTTACTAGAAATTTTAGGATGAATTCCGCATTTATGATGTTACACCTCCTGATGCACAAGACAGTTCAAGTAGTAAACTTATTGCAGAGCAAACTAATCGCGCTGGTGTCATAATTTGCAATGCAATTAATGAACATGGTTAGTTTCTATTCTTCACAAAATATAAACTGTGATTTAAAAATTTAAATGATTTAAAAATTAAATAAACCTATTCCTTAATTCTAGGAACGGATGAAAAAAGAACTGAAGTAAGAATTCTCGGTCCTGGAAGTCCGCCGCAAGATATTCAGACAGCGTCAACACCCAATGGCTTCAAGGTATCATGGAAGCCACCAAAGTATCCAAACGGAAAGATAACTGTTCGTTTCATGTTCATTCTTAATCATTATAGGATATTAAAGAATTATTTATATTACCTATTTACCTATTTAAATAAGCATAAAAAATAATGCAAATGAGGACAAATTTAAAAATTTGAATATCAGAAATTTTGTGCATTTTGTGCATCTTATCAATTTTAAAGAAATGAAACGAAGAAAGGCTTTTTATTACCTAAATTTACAGAATTATATTATATACTATACAAAGAATCCAGACGATGATCTTGGTGAATGGGAGCGAATAAGTGTTAACGGAGATACTGATGAAACAGCGATCAAAGTCAACGATGAAGAAACACCGTACAACATTAGAATTCAAGCTGCAACAAAAGATGGAGTTGGCATAATATCAGAGGCCTACGATGTAACTACTGGCAAAAAACGTAGAATTTTTTTAAACGCATCTTTACAGCACTTTGAATCGTAATGAGGCAATCTTGTAGATCTGCTTCGATCTACGAGATATTGACAAATCTAAAAGGAAAGAAATTTTAAAATTTTAAAAATCTATTTCAGCCATACCTCTTTTTGTAAATCTGCTCATCATAAGCCCAAAGGTAGATGAACGTGATGAAGAAACAATAGTTGAACCATTACAACCTATTCGATTCAAATGCCTAGCAGAAGGACGACCATCACCGCAAATTTTTTATTCCTGGCTGCCATTTAATGAAAGTGGTTCTGGACAGGTACGGTATAATATCTTGGCACTCTAACTTCATTTTCTACATGTCAATACAAATATTTTCAAAAAATCCACAATTTACCGCATGCACAAACTACAAAATAACGACAAAATAACAAAAAATTTTGAAAATTTTGTTGCTAAAAATTTTTTTCATGACCATTTTTTTGCGAAATTTGGAAGATTTAGAAAAGATTTAATTTGAAATTTTGAAAATATTTCTATAAATATTTGAAAATATTCATTCGATTACTCATTTATTTTGCCAGTGCACCATAATTAATCTTTAGTTAACAATAAAAGTTTCATTCTTTAAACACTATGAAATAGGAACCAGTACACATACCTGCTTATTCTGACCATGAAGTACCACATCGCTACCATTCTATTGAAGTGGATTCTAACACTGCTTCAAGGCGTGCACTGATGTGCAAAGCACGGAATAGCGATGGCACGGCTGAAGACCGACATGTTTTTAACGTGATAAGTAAGTTTATTGTGCTTTTCCTTTACTTATATTATTTGGTTGGTTGATTAGTTCTTCTGATATTTCCTCCTCGACGATAAATCGAAGATATTCTCATCTCTCTAAACTATGCAGTGTCTATCACCGTATTTATGAATTTAGAACCAGGAAGCCCACCGGAATCGGTCGCAGCTATTATAGATCCTGATAATCGTGTGACAATTTCGTGGGAACCTCCGAAATATCCAAATGGTCTTATAACAGTTAGTTAATCACATGATCTTGAAAACTTATTTTCCCTGTTAATATGGATTGATTTCTTAATAATTATAATTTTTTTGCAGGGATATAAAGTGTTCTTGACGGATGACCCTAATCTACCAATGGATAAATGGAAAACATCCACAATAAGCGGCGACGATCCAAGAATTATATTCAATCGTGGTGATCTTGAACCAGAAACACCTTATTTCTTCAAAATTGCAGCATTAGGCCCACATGGTCAGGGTGTATCATCCGACATTATTACATTCGAAACAGTCAGTGGTGGTAAGCCTTTTAATAATTCTTGGAGAAATTACAGCTTATATATATTTCTTTAAAGATAATCCTCACTCTTACTGGGTGAACCCGCTCCGCTGGCTTGTCGCGTTTGACAAATATGCCAGGGAGTCCTTTGGCCATGAAAGTACAGATAAAAGTACAGATGAGTCGCCAGCACCACCTGGATTTTTGGACAAGTTTATTTACTCTTGCGGCGAATAGAACCTCCGCACCGGAGCTCCGAATTTAACAACAACCCACTAAACCATTTCATCCCCACAGCTTACATATTATGGAATCTAATAATAGAAAAGACAATTATAGCTCCAGTTGATTCACCTCAAGAAGTTTTACCTGTAATACAATCTGATAATTCGATTGATGTAACGTGGACAGGTCCAAGTGTTCCAAATGGACAAATAAAAGCAAGTTTTCACTTTTTTTATCCTATCCCTAGTGATCAAATTGTTTATCAAATCCTCATATTCCTTTAGAAATTTTAGGCCGAAATATTCATTTCAATAACTTCAATTTTTCTATTCTATTTTTAGGCTTATAATATTTATTTTACTCCAATTGATGATGATACAAGCGACGATGCATATAAACAGTGGGAAAAAAATATTGTATTGACTAACAATATTTCGGGGAACGCCCGTATTGATAAAGAAATTTATAATATATTACCAAATCGTGATTACAAGATCCGTATTTCTGCCACAAATGATCAATCGGAAGGACCTGCAAGTGATCCGATAACATTTACGACAGGAAGTGGTGGTTAGTAGATTAATCCTCTGCATGCTTTCTCGATGTTTTCATAAATTTTTATCTTATTTGAATCATTTTGCAGAGACTGCGCCAGTGATCACCCTTGAGCCACCTGATAATCCAACCAATGTGACGCCAAGAGGCTCAGTGTCTGTTCACTGCTCTGCAAGTGGCGAACCTAGACCCACACTTATGTGGATTATTGGCACAGACCAGGACGTTATGCGCAGCGCTGATCTTCTTCTAACAGATCTACGCAAAGATGTTGTGGCTACCTGTAGAGCAGAAAATAAAGCCGGAAGAGTTCAAGAAGTTCTTCAAATAATTGTATCTGGTAATTTTCTTTAATGGAGTTTTTTGCAAATGACAAGCAAGTTTCATTATATGATAATTTCTAAGGTCCTGGAACACCACCGAATGAAATTGTTGCGCTACCTATGGCAAATCAACAAGTTAATGTAGAATGGACAACACCAGATAATCCGAATGGTCGAATTATGGGATATATTATACATTACGGCGAGGTACCAGAAGGTTAGTGGAGTTACTTATGGTTTTCAAAGATGATTTCATGGTGATTTGTTTTAGGAGAAAATGAACCTGTAGAATGGCGAAAAATTGATCTACCTGGAGAAGATGTGCAACAACATCGGATTACCAACCTTAAACCGAAATCCATTTATGCATTTAAAGTTCAAGCAATTAGTGATCGAGGACCAGGTGTTGAATCGGATCCTATCAAAATTAAGACTCTGCCGCTAGGTGTTATTTTATTTTTAATAAAGATGTAATAAATGTATATTTTCAGCAATATTCTCTTTTCAATATTCAAATAAATTATGAATAGATAAATTTGATTTTAAATAAAATGCCAATTTTATCCCTATATTTCACATCATTCTTTAATTTCCAGGTGTTTGATGGAACAAATTACTTTTTTTTCAGCTCCAACTTCGGTGAAGCCACCCAATATCAATGTTCATGATAACAATACTGTTGCTGTGAAATTTGAAGCGCCACATGATCCAGAAGATCCATCTAAACCTATAAAAGTGCGTATTTCCATTTCAAAATTATTCGAACAAAGATTTATTTCAAAATTTATTTATTATTAAATTTATTTATTTATCAAAATTTATTCAAGATTTATTCATTTCAAACAAATTGATAATATTCAGGAATATGTTATTCACTATACAGAAGATGACCCAACATCGGATGATGCCGTATGGCGCGAACTGATGTGGCTAGAGCCTGACGACGATTTTGCTGTTAATATTCCAATTGATGGGGAAAATTTCAAGCCAGACACAAAATACGCTATTAAGGTATAAAGTATACACCCATTCATTATATTACTTGATTTGACTTACCAAAATAAAGAATCAAAACAACTTTAAGACAACTAAGTAGTGTACGTTTATAAGCATGCAACGAATCAAAAAATAAAATTCAGGTTGTTCCTCGTGGTGAAATAGATGGCCCTCCTTCGGAACCAATCGTATTTCAAACTGGAGACGGAGGTTTGATTAATATTTCAAACTAATTAATTTTTGTTTTCAATGTAGAATTTAATTTTATCATGTAATTCAAGACTCTGTTTCAAGTGGAATTGCCTTTTTAGAAATTAATCTATGGAAAGTTTGCAGTAATTCCACCTGAAAAGCCAGTTGTCAATGTCGACGTGCCAGACAATGTTATTAGAGTACCTGCTGGAACTGATTACACCGTCAGTTGTTCTTCAAATGGTTTTCCGTCACCAAATATTTTTTGGATTGATCATAAAGGGAAGGTAAGTGTTTGGATCTAAATGAAAATCGCCCTTGGGCAGACCTATTATGGACCCTAAGTTCTAATGGGCCCGAAAATTTCTCTTTTTGGTTTCTCTTTAGACCTATAAAATATATTAAACTTCAAACGAAGTCAAATTCAACATTTAACATTCATTTATCATCGCTAAAGTAATTCAGATCTTAAGTGACGGACCAATGCTGAGACTTCAAGATGTTAAAGAGACCGTCAAAGCAAAATGCGTTGCGGAAAACCGTGGAGGAAGGCAGGAAACGGACTTTGAAGTCTTTGTTGCAGGTTTTTCTTCGATTATTATTTATACATGGTCCCCGAATATTGCCACAAATGAGCCGGCAGTACCCTTTTCATGGATCCACACCATCCTTACATAATCTTGGATTAAAAGATGCTGATAAATTGTTAATGCTAATATTAAAGTATGAAAAAACCAAACTAAACAAATAAATTTTTCAAGCTTATTGAAAATTCAAGGGCCAGGAAATGCTCCGGGGAATATCCGTCTAAGTACCGAGCGACCGCGAATGATATTTGTGGAATGGGATCCACCGACAATACCAAATGGCAATATTGTTCGATACATTATTTACTACACGCCGTTGGATGATCAGGTTTTAAAAAAGAATATTTAAGAATAGCCCTATCTTATATAGGTCATTTATGAAAATTTTTATCATATAAAGAACATTTCCTATTTTTCAGAATATTGTCTATCAAATAGGACAAGTTCCTAAAAAGCCTATCGCTGAGTGGATGACATATCATAAAGACAAGGAGCCACTCACATTTGCAAACCAATCTGCTCATCTTACAGACTTTGTGGAGCCTGATACTGCATATGCAATTGTGATTCAAGCTGTTAATTCTGATGGTCCAGGACCTTATTCTGAACAACATACAATCCGAACAATGTCTAGAGGTTTGGTGAATATAAAGAAAATGAATGATTGTTTTTATAACTTCACTTTTACCATACAAGTCAGTCATTTAAGTGATCTCATAATTTAGCCCGAGAAGGACCTCCAGAAAACTTACGAGTTGAGCCAGATGGGCCAGACTCGGCAAATGTGGAATGGAACCGACCCGCTATTACTGACCAGCTACCGATAGGCTATGAACTTTATTATATTAAAGCGGATGCGAAAATTTGGGAAGATGATCTTGCTAGTATCGGCGATTGGTACCATATAAATCTTTTTTCCTTTATTTCCTAAAAAAACATGAGACTTAATGAGGTCAAAAAACCACATAACGCTAAATAAAAAATATTCCCATAAACAGCACCAAAGATCCAAATGAAAAATTGAGAAAAAGGGGAAAATCTATTTTGCGGCATAAAATCGCCACATAAATAGTGCTTGAAGAAAATTACGATTATAATGATAAAGGGATATGATTCCAATCACTGAAGTGGATGGTGACGATTTACATTACAAAATTGACGATCTTTTGGAAGCGGATACGGAATATGTTTTCAAGATTCGAGCAGTATTTCCAGATGGACCTGGCGTATTTTCTATTGCTTGCATTATGAAGACTTTACCAGAAGGTTTGTTATCAGACTGCATGTTCCTTTAAATCAAATCAAATCATCACAACTTCCGATTTAATCCTTGATAAATATTTAGGTAATGCTCCATATATAATGACATCAAGCGGAGATCATGGAGTGGAAGGCACCAGTAATATTAAGATCCTGCCTGGATCTTCATTTGAAGTCTTTTGTAATGCTACCGGATCACCAAAGCCAACAGTAAAATGGATCCGTGCTGGTTCTGTGCCTATTGATCCTAGTTGGGTAAGTCAAATTATTTGCAGCAATTTTTTCAATTATCTCTGTTTGAATTGCAGAAAAGTAACCTTTTATCTATTACATCTGCTCAATAGAATAGAATTTTAAATAAGTGGTAGTAAATAAATAAGTAAACAAAAAAATAAGTAGTCAATATGAACTACGAATTCAGGTTGAAGCTGACGAATCACATACGAAATGGACTCTAAAAGTTTCAAACATCTCAGAGGATACATCGTTTATCTGCTTAGCACAAAGTCCACTCGGTCAGGCTAATTGGACATTCATCGTTCATATCGATAAAAGTTGGTAGATTTTGCAATATTGCTTGCTTTACCTTAGAATTTACTTAACTTTATTGCTGGATCAGGAAATGAATCTTGTTATCAAATTAAATAAATTTCTTAGATTTACCTCCATCATGGAAAGACGATTTCGTGTTTGCAAGGAATGAGAATGGCGAAGTTGTACTGCATTTTACAGAAAATTTGCCTGATTTTCTTAAAGAACCGGTAATTTCGCTCAATTTTTTAAAAATATAAGGGAAAATTACACCAATTCAAAAAAAGGTAAATATAATTACGAAATCAAATAATGAATTCAAGTTATTTTCTTGCAATCCTATATCTTTTTAATTTCTTCAAAATATTAGATTTTTTAATATTAAAATGCAACGACTTGTATTCGGTTCAAATTTCAACAGAATAACTGGATTGTTTACTGGACGGAAAATCCAAGTCAACCGCTGCATGAATGGAACAAAATTCCAAGTGATAAGCGGCCACTGGATCGTATTGTTGTATCAGAAATGGAACCTGGGACCAAATATTACCTGTTGGTTGAGCAACCCGATGAAAATATTAAAACTGCAGTATTTAGCACAATGACACCAAGTAAGTTATCAAAGCAATTGTGAAAGTATGAACTTTTGTACACTACCTACCGTGGTGATTCATTGTAAATGACAAATTGAGCCAGTTCAAATCCATGCTGCATATCCCACAGCCCATAATAGCCTATATGACATTAATATTAAACGATAAATAACGTGATCTATCTAGTGTGTTTCCAGGAAAAAAGCTAGTGAAAAATTTTTAAAAACTATATTTCGGAGGTGCGAATCAATTTAAAAATATTATTGCATTCCATATAATTCTAAAAATGTTTTCAAAATTTTGAAAAACTGAGGAAAATTCTAAGCTCGTAGAAAATTGTTATACATTATTATATAATACAGTCCATATATGCAAATTTTTCAGAAGCTGCAAGTGATATACGTGTTGGAACTAATCTCAATGGTGAAACCGTTGTGGATTTTAAACCGGCAGTTGCCGCTGAGCCAGTGAAAGTAAATCTTAATATATGAATAGGAATTTCGGATAAAAAATTTAACGTGTTTTCAAAAAAAATGTATTTTAGCATTACAAAGAATTTGTGATTAAATTTTCAGAAATATATCATAAAATATTGGCCTGAGGACGATCCAACAGCTGTGAGGTACACAGAAACACCAAAGGATATTACTGACCAAATTATCGTTACTGGACTTCTACCTGACGTTGACTATAATTTTATGGTTAGAAGCAGAGTTAAATCTTCCATGCACTTTAAAGATATTTGATTCTTGTCAGATATCCTGTCGGATAGGATGAAGACAAATACTTTGTGGCATCTATTTTATTTACTGTAGTACTAATATGATAAAAAAACCCAGGTAACAGCGAAATTTGAAGAAGGCGATAATCTTCCAAGCGAACCTGTTAAAATCAGAACACCTTCAGGAGGTTTAATTAATTTATTTATTATTTACTGGAAATAATTCCAAAAGAGATGATAATAAATACCATCAAAAATGAAGGCATCATTATTATTTTCAAGGCCAGAAATGTTTATAATTTGATTTGTATATAAATGTTAGGCGCAATGCCGCTATGACGATTAAAATCAACCACGTAACATGGTATTATATAATTCGATTAGCCTCATTATTATTAGGAAATTTCCTTCCAGAAACTCAGAAATTCAAGATGAAAACTTCATACCATTTGAAATTTCCATTTTTCACAGATAAAGAAATCGGACGACAATTCTTGAACTTAGTCGAATAAACATACCGCCATCTTAGCGTAAAAAATAATATTAAAGATATAAAATGCGACTGCGCGCATGCATGTAAATTCGAGGAAGATGATGATGGTGTAGTGACAACATCTTGCTATTGCCATAATGGTTTTCGCTTATTAGATGACGAGAGATCTTGCGAACCAATCGAAGAAGAAGAAGAAAGCGTTATACAGGTAGAAATTCTCCTAAAATATAGTTACTTCGAATTGTACTCTGTTATATTATTCTGCAATTTCTTCTTTAAACTGTTAATTTTTGTCATATTTTCTATTTTCCTTCTTATTAAATTTTATTGTTTTTTTTAAACTGTTATTAATACAAACACATGGCGTTATCGCCTTGCTTGGCTGGATTTCAGTAAATGAATAAATAAAATGGCAAAACACTAATGAAATTTATTGACATTAATTTTTAATATTAGCCAATTCCATTTGGAAAGAACAGGATCAAAACTGCATCATATTAAATATTTCTATTAAAAAATAAGATAAGAAAAATATAAGAAAAATTCAGGTAACACCACCAGCTTTTACCACAGACACCAGAGATCCAGAGCAAATATCCAGGCTCACGACAGATATTTCTAAAGAAGTGGCTCAAACCATGAAATATAAACCAGGCACAACTGATATTGAAACTCTTCCAACAGACTATTTAGGGAGGACGATCAGTTTCGATGGAAAGCCTTTATCAACAGATATAATGGGGCGAATAGTAGGAGAACATGCTTCGCCGCTGCCAACCAATGCAATGGGTCAAATAATTTATGTACCAACCGAACCAGCATCTGTTATATATCCGACTGATGAAATGGGTCGATATGTATTTCCCATTGTTGGGCCTGATGGTAAAGAATTATCAAAAAATTCTGCTGGAGAAACAATAGATCAACTAGGAAGAATAATCGAAAAGAATGAAGAAGGATTTCCTCTTGGACCTGACGGCATTATATTAAAAAAAAACACTAAAGGTGAATGGGTTTATCCTATACTTGGAAAAGATGGTGAACCATTACCGACGGATTTAAATTTACGACCTATATATCCAATCGTAGGACAAGATCAGATTCTTTTCAGTCGCAATGAACAAGGTCTAAACGTTGATAATGAAGGAAATATTATACCTACTGATATAGCTGGTAGACCAGTCAGTATCGACGGTTCTCCATACCCGACGGATAAGGAACATAGATTCATAATCGCGCAAGATGAAGAAGCAATATTAATAATACCAACTGATGATCTGGGACGTAAAATTTACCCAGTTGCTTTTCCTAATGGTGAAATCCTACCAACAGATGAAAGTGGCCGTCATATTGATGAAAATGGGGACCCAATACCAACAGATGATTTTGGATTACCTATATCGGAAGATGGGAAAATATTAAACACGGACTCTCAAGGAAGATTTGTATATAAAAGTTTGAAAAAGCCAGTACATCCAATTTTTGCTCCTGGCGGCAAACTTCTGCCAACTACTAAAGGAATGATGCTTGGTCCTGATGGTGAGCCAATACCAACAAATGTTGCTGGATTCCCCGTTGATAACAAAGGTAGACCTTTTCCAAGTGATGCTAGTGGAAATATTATTTATCCTGCAAAAGGACTCGACGCTGAACCGCTTCCTACTGACAAAAGTGGAAAACCAGTGCATCCAATTCTTGGACCTAATGGGCAAGAACTACCTACAGGGAAAGAAGGACTCGTGCTTGGGCCAGATGGTGAGCCAATACCAACAAATATTGCTGGATTCCCTGTGGATAACAAAGGTAGACCTTTTCCAAGTGATGCTAGTGGAAATATTATTTATCCTGCAAAAGGACTCGACGCTGAACCGCTTCCTACTGACAAAAGTGGAAAACCAGTGCATCCAATTCTTGGACCTAATGGGCAAGAACTACCTACAGGGAAAGAAGGACTCGTGCTTGGGCCAGATGGTGAGCCAATACCAACAAATATTGCTGGATTCCCTGTGGATAACAAAGGTAGACCTTTTCCAAGTGATGCTAGTGGAAATATTATTTATCCTGCAAAAGGACTCGACGCTGAACCGCTTCCTACTGACAAAAGTGGAAAACCAGTGCATCCAATTCTTGGACCTGATGGGCAAGAACTACCCACAGGGAAAGAAGGACTCGTGCTTGGGCCAGATGGTGA